TATATGCTTTTATGAATATATATTTTTTTGAATATATTTTTTGTCTAGGAAATTTTGGTGTACAATGACAAATTAGCTCCACTGTTGCAACTATAATAAAAACATTTTTCTTCATTTAAATAAAGTTAAATGAAATACAAATAACAGATACAAACTTAAACTAAACAATTTGCTAAAATATGCTTAAATTTACTCAAATAAACTAAACAATTTACTAAAATTACTAACTACAAAAAATAAAGCTAAAATATAAATAAACTAAAACTCTATAAATGTCAAAAACTAATAAGAAAGGTCAAACGCATAAAATTCATTAAATTAAACACATTCAAAAGAAAACTGAAAACAGACAAATAAAAGCTATTTCAAAATATTAACAATATCTACAATAGTATATAAATAATACTAAAATAACACTGATCCGCTCTGATATGGTCATAATTTGAGATCCATAGTCTTAAAGGTCCCATATTGTCATGATTTTTCATGATAACTGAGGTCTAGGGGCTATTTAACTACCATATAAGTTTCAAAACAGTCAGTCCACAGTAAAATGCACACAGCCTGCTTAAAGTAGCTGTGATTTTTCATGAACCGTTGTGACTTCCGTAAAAAGTTGATGTCAGAACTACACAGTCACAGCCTTCAGTCACCACCCCGAGCACCGCCCACCGTCCCACTCTCCTTTTGCCAAACCCCCAGACAACATCATGTCCATGCCATTGCTGAGCAACGACAACATAGAAACATGTCGAAAAGGTTAACTTTAACCACAAAACCAGATCGGCCGACCTGTACGTTACACTCTCACTCAACGTGTATAATACAGACAAACTCACCGTGTCTATCTAGTCATGATGAAGATGTATATACATTTCAATTTCAGCAGGCATCTATTTTTCACAATTATTCACAACAATGTATATACAATTACAAATTATATATAAATCGTCAGTTTGTTGTTTTACAAATTTATATAGTCGTGAGATGCAAGAAACATATGGCAAGAAATCTGTAGACACACCCATAACAACAAAAGACAATACTTTATTGAACCTTTTCTGATAAGAAGTGTGCGCTGTAAACGCAAGCATTTTTGACGATCGTCTCTGTCCAGTCTGTTCGTTTTATCGCGTTTAACCACAACTGTCATCGGTTTTTTGTCTGGCAGTGGCAGCAGATATGCGATCAAATTTTTAATTTGAGGCTGTATCACGTCGATTCTGGCACCCAACATCACAACAAGATGATATTTTAAGCTCCTTATGTAGCTGAATCTGCGCTGGTTTGAATGGGCCGCCTCCAGTTTCCCCTTTGTTTTGCTGCCTCCAGCCAGCACTGTGACGTCGGCTGTCCCTAGTTACCTGTGGTTGGCCTGGCCATGCGTCACTCAGAAAACAACAGGCCAATCAGAAGAGAGGCTCATGAATATTAATTATACAGGCCAAAATCGACCTGTTCTCAGCAGAGTTCCTGAGAGAGGAGCTGTAAAAATATATTGAGATGGTTTTTGGTACTTATAACACAAATATATATATTCTTAAGGACATCAAAATCTAAAATAAAACTCCAGAAAGGTGTAAAATATGGGACCTTTAAAACACTCACAACTGTTACAGCACAAAACACTCACTGCAGTTACAACACAATTACAGTTACAACAGCAAAATATACTCTGCAAAATATAGTATTTTAGTATTTTTTAGTGCTCTACCAGCAAGTGTCATTTTCAGTGGTATGTGAGATGGAAATTCTCTTTGCACTTCTTTATTTCTTTATTTTGCTGAAATGCTGTTTAACTTCACCACAAGAATTTGGACAAATGGTCTTTGTTGAGGAACCACATTCTGAGCCAACAAACGCTCTCCAAAACTGAGCCAAAGTGATCATATTATGTTGCACAACAGAAACCTTCTCAGCATAAAGCCGTATTCATTTCCCCCAGTGCATTACATGAAGCTCTTCCATTCCAAAGCGTTCCTCATTCAACAGCCACAGCACAGCTTCTACTGTTGGCTTTCTGTAGCACCACTTCAGTTTCAAATTCTCAAAGACAGCAGCCTTTTTTAGGCAAAAGCTAAAAAGCTGGAGGAACCTGAGACATCATACGTAATCTCAACATTCCCAATGGTCTTTACCAATATATTCAAATCCATAGCTGAATGATTCAATTCAATATCTGGCCAGCATCACTCTTGCTGTTTCTCATTCTAAAGTGTGGGGATTTGAACAAACCGCTAAGTCTAAGTTTTAAAGTTTGGTGTGTAACTTGTCTCACATTGTTTGTGCTACAGACATGATTGATAGATTTCCAATCAAAGAGAAGCCAATTTCTCATCTGGCAGACAGAGCTGGGCAAAATTCTGACTGAAGAATTGGCTCCCATTCTATTCATGATTTGGAGTATGAATTCAATTTGTCATGCCCCATATGAAGTTGAATTGAAATTTACATTAAAATCGTCCCACTCTCCTTTTGCCAAACCCCCAGACAACATCATGTCCATGCCATTGCTGAGCAACGACAACATAGAAACATGTCGAAAAGGTTAACTTTAACCACAAAACCAGATCGGCCGACCTGTACGTTACACTCTCACTCAACGTGTATAATACAGACAAACTCACCGTGTCTATCTAGTCATGATGAAGATGTATATACATTTCAATTTCAGCAGGCATCTATTTTTCACAATTATTCACAACAATGTATATACAATTACAAATTATATATAAATCGTCAGTTTGTTGTTTTACAAATTTATATAGTCGTGAGATGCAAGAAACATATGGCAAGAAATCTGTAGACACACCCATAACAACAAAAGACAATACTTTATTGAACCTTTTCTGATAAGAAGTGTGCGCTGTAAACGCAAGCATTTTTGACGATCGTCTCTGTCCAGTCTGTTCGTTTTATCGCGTTTAACCACAACTGTCATCGGTTTTTTGTCTGGCAGTGGCAGCAGATATGCGATCAAATTTTTAATTTGAGGCTGTATCACGTCGATTCTGGCACCCAACATCACAACAAGATGATATTTTAAGCTCCTTATGTAGCTGAATCTGCGCTGGTTTGAATGGGCCGCCTCCAGTTTCCCCTTTGTTTTGCTGCCTCCAGCCAGCACTGTGACGTCGGCTGTCCCTAGTTACCTGTGGTTGGCCTGGCCATGCGTCACTCAGAAAACAACAGGCCAATCAGAAGAGAGGCTCATGAATATTAATTATACAGGCCAAAATCGACCTGTTCTCAGCAGAGTTCCTGAGAGAGGAGCTGTAAAAATATATTGAGATGGTTTTTGGTACTTATAACACAAATATATATATTCTTAAGGACATCAAAATCTAAAATAAAACTCCAGAAAGGTGTAAAATATGGGACCTTTAAAACACTCACAACTGTTACAGCACAAAACACTCACTGCAGTTACAACACAATTACAGTTACAACAGCAAAATATACTCTGCAAAATATAGTATTTTTCACACTGTTAGTGCTCTACCAGCAAGTGTCATTTTCAGTGGTATGTGAGATGGAAATTCTCTTTGCACTTCTTTATTTTTTGCACCAGCTGAAATGCTGTTTAACTTCACCACAAGAATTTGGACAAATGGTCTTTGTTGAGGAACCACATTCTGAGCCAACAAACGCTCTCCAAAACTGAGCCAAAGTGATCATATTATGTTGCACAACAGAAACCTTCTCAGCATAAAGCCGTATTCATTTCCCCCAGTGCATTACATGAAGCTCTTCCATTCCAAAGCGTTCCTCATTCAACAGCCACAGCACAGCTTCTACTGTTGGCTTTCTGTAGCACCACTTCAGTTTCAAATTCTCAAAGACAGCAGCCTTTTTTAGGCAAAAGCTAAAAAGCTGGAGGAACCTGAGACATCATACGTAATCTCAACATTCCCAATGGTCTTTACCAATATATTCAAATCCATAGCTGAATGATTCAATTCAATATCTGGCCAGCATCACTCTTGCTGTTTCTCATTCTAAAGTGTGGGGATTTGAACAAACCGCTAAGTCTAAGTTTTAAAGTTTGGTGTGTAACTTGTCTCACATTGTTTGTGCTACAGACATGATTGATAGATTTCCAATCAAAGAGAAGCCAATTTCTCATCTGGCAGACAGAGCTGGGCAAAATTCTGACTGAAGAATTGGCTCCCATTCTATTCATGATTTGGAGTATGAATTCAATTTGTCATGCCCCATATGAAGTTGAATTGAAATTTACATTAAAATGAAGGGAAACGGAATCTATCTATCTATCTATCTATCTATCTATCTATCTATCTATCTATCTATCTATCTATCTATCTATCTATC